TTTTAATAGTCGTGTTGATAATCATGACAGTCCAGAACAAATAATATCTTACTTGACTCCAATAAACGCATCACCAACTAATACATCAATTGTATTACAAACTATGAACCAAAGTAAAAAAATAGCTGAAGATTTACAGCAGCCCAGCATACAAGTAACCTATGACCTTGCTATTGCAAAAATTGCTTTACAAATACAAGCTACGGAAAAACCAACATTTGACAATTTATTTATTCATTTAGGGCCGTTTCACATTATGATGGCTTATTTTAAAGCAATTGGTAAAATAATTAGTGATTGTGGGTTAACTAATGTAATGGTTGAGAGCAATTTGTTAGCAAATGGTTCAGTTAATGGATTTTTAGACGGGAAACACTTTAATCGCTGCAAAAGACTGCATCCTTTAATAGCATTAGGACTAGAAATACTACATTTTAAATCATTTTTACAAAATGGTAATATAACTTTGAGAAACGATGTAATAGAAGAAGTTAAAAGGCTTCAAAAGTGTGAAATATCTTCATTTGAAATTGAAAATGAAAACCTGAAAGAGCTGATGAATAATTACAATATTTACAAGCAACAAACCCTTAACGGGGAGCATGGTAAAACATCACAATTCTATTTAATTTACATAAATCTTCTACATCACTACTTGGACTTATCTCGAAGTATTCGTACTGGAAATTTTCAACTATTTAAATCAGTCTTACCAAAAATTACAAATATATTTTTCATATGCAATCAACAAAATTATTCGAGGTGGATGGTCAAGTACTCGGATAATTTACAAACAGTTGCCGAAACTCATCCTGATTTATATGAAGGATTCAAAAAAGGTTGCTTTGGAATTAAAAGAACCACCAAGCCATTTTCAAGACAACCAATTGACCTGGTACTTGAACAAACCATAAATGCAGATGCTGCGAGAAGGCTAACAGGTATCATACACTTCACAAAATCAATTTCGGCACGACAACGCTGGGCTCGGAATCATGACGTAAGATCTCCAATAATTAGCCAAGTTTATTTTGAACTAGGACTCCAATGTCATCAAGATGTTTCAGCTGACTTAAAACCCCATAATATCCGCAAAAATAATAAACAACTGCAAAAATTTGTTGCTACTTTCGATCAGTTTATTAATCCATTTAGTTTAGAAGTGCCTAAAGACCAATTAGTTAATATTTCATCAGGGAAATCGCATCACCATCAGTAGAATTTTTTTGTTAAATATAGAAGCTTATGGTGATAGCCTTCGAAAGACATTTATTTCTGAGTGTCAATCTGATGTAGAAAGATTTGAAAAAGCTATTAAGAAAATTTCTATTGATAATTTTTCTAAAGATTATGAAAAAAAAAATAAAATTAAAGTCGGTGGAAAAATTCAATAAATAAAAATTCAAAAAGATTTGTTTGGACGTATGCTGGGAATCTCTTTAGATTATAAGTTTGACTTTGCAAAAATATTGTCTTACCCAATTACTTCAGTACCATTGTCAATGTGCCATTTGGATGGAACCATTTGCAAGACCGACAAGTCTGCTTTAATGAAATACTTAGAGAAAGAAGTTGAGCACGAGGAGCCACCTCGAATTGATGTTTCAATAATTGACGGTTTTTTCTTGTTACATACAATGAAAAATGTTCCCAAAACATTTGGAGGCATTTCTAAAAAAATGTTGCAAATGGTAACTCAATTAAAAACGTCCAGAATCGATGTTATCTTTGATCAGTATTTTACACCATCGATAAAAGATTATGAACATTCTCAACGATTCGAATCTGCAGAATTAGAGTATACCATAGCTGGACCTGAACAAGTTCGTCCTAGTGATTTCTCCAAAGAGTTGAAAAATTCAAAATTTAAAGAAGCTTTAGTTAATTTTTTCATTTCACATTGGGCTACTGATGAAATGGTGCCATTTATTGGTAACAAAATTATACATATTAATTTCAAAAAGTGCCATTCTTTTATTATTAATGAAACTAACAAAATTATGTCAAGTATCATTGACGAATTGTCTTGCCCGAATCATGAAGAAGCTGATACCAAAATAATATACCATGTGTGTAAAATCAACTATAGAGCAAATATTGTAATCAGAACTGTTGATACCGATATTGCTGTTATAATGCTGGGTCATATGCACCGCCTAAATGATGAATTACATATCTGGATGCTTGCAGGAACTGGAAATAACTTAAGGTATGTGGACTTAACCAAAATACATGAAAAATTGGGAGAATCAGTTTGTAAAAGCTTACCTGGATTACATGCAATTACAGGGTGTGATTACAATCCTACATTACAGGAAAGCAAAATTGAAACCGTTTAATTTATTAAAAAAATATGAAGAATTTCAGCACGCTTTCATGAAGTTTGGTGACAATAAAATTATCGAAGATCATGAAGAGCAAGAACGTATTTTTAATATTATACAAAGTTTTATGTGCTATTTATACAACGTCGGCAACTTAAGTGATGTTGATGCTGCTAGGTTGCAAATGTTTATTGATTCCTACTCGGTGTCGGATGTAAACGAAGCTTTCAATAAAAAAAAGTTACGAAATTTCGATGCTAGTAGCTTACCACCTTGCAAAAGTGAGCTACTACAACAATTTTTGCGAGCTAATTATATATGTAGTATATGGAACACTGCCCACGTGAAAAACCCAACAACTTATGAACCAGTAAACAATGGTTGGATTCTGGAAAATGACAAATACCATTTTAAATGGTTTGAAGGGGATCAACTACCGAATGATGTTAGTGAATCTCTAAAAACGTTACCAGGTATGTAATAATAATTTTTAATTATTTTACATACATTTATGACTGTTTAAAACTGAATTAACTAGGTTTTATATTACTATTGTAGGAGCAGACAGACAAGGCAAAATTGATGACGATCAATCCTCCGACTGGAGTTGCAGTGACGACGAAAACGAAGATATCGACCGCGATGATGAAGATGATTGAATATTTGATTTTATTTTTCTGCGAATTATTTATTAGGAATAAAAATATCTTTCGTATAATAAACAATAAATATTAATAACTTTGAAATTTTAATTGATTTAATTTTAATAAACTCCACAAACATTTTAAATAATATGAACTAAGTGATTATATACTAACGCTGATATGATTGCTATATAATTTGAAAAAAATATTGCAGGCTATATAATTTTTAAATTATATTTATTGATAAATTATAGAAATATCAAAAGAAAAATTGATGAGTCTGGTAGGATGATAAAACCTACAAAACTGTCTGGCAATTTAAGAAACACAGTCTAATAGTTCTCTCAATAATATATATAAATTTCAGCTTTATTAAAATGACGTAAGTTTATTTCTAAAATAGTATAGTTTAGGGGGGTCCGGCGGGGGGTTGGAACCACACTAAGGGTCTGGCAACGAGCAGAGCAAGTTATAATACTGTTACGAGCAATATGTGAAAAAATGGAGCATCTTAAAATAACGAATTTGATATGAAATTGTATACACCGTTGTTACCCAATATACGGTTTCAATGGGTCTGGTAGGATAAGGAACCAAGAAAACTGTCTGGCAATTTAGGAAACTCAGTTTAATAGTTCTCTCAATAATATATATAAAGTTCAGCTTTATTAAAATGACGTAAGTTTATTTCTAAAATAGTATAGTTTAGGGGGTCCGGCGGGGGGTTCGAACCACACTAAGGGTCTGGCAACGAGCAGAGCAAGTTATAATACTGTTACGAGCAATATGTGAAAAAATGGAGCATCTTAAAATAACGAATTTGATATGAAATTGTATACACCGTTGTTACCCAATATACGGTTTCAATGAATCTGGTAGGATAAGGAACCAAGAAAACTGTCTGGCAATTTAGGAAACTCAGTTTAATAGTTCTCTCAATAATATATATAAAGTTCAGCTTTATTAAAATGACGTAAGTTTATTTCTAAAATAGTATAGTTTAGGGGGGTCCGGCGGGAGGGTGGAACCACACTAAGAGTCTGACAACGAGCAGAGCAAGTTATAATACTGTTACGAGCAATATGTGAAAAAATGGAGCATCTTAAAATAACGAATTTGATATGAAATTGTATACACCGTTGTTACCCAATATACGGTTTCAATGTGTGGTAGGATAAGGAACCAAGAAAACTGTCTGACAATTTAGGAAACTCAGTTTGAGAGAACTCTCAATAATATATATAAATTTCAGCTTTATTAAAATGACGTAAGTTTATTTCTAAAATAGTATAGTTTAGGGGGGTCCGGCGGGGGGTTGGAACCACACTAAGAGTCTGGCAATGAGCAGAGCAAGTTATAATACTGTTACGAGCAATATGTGAAAAAGTGGAGCATCTTAAAATTTGACGAATTTGATATGAAATTGTATCCACCCTAGTTAGCCTGCGGTGTCTGTATTTGAGACTGGTGCTATAACGATCCAAGAAAACTGTCTGGCAATTTAGGAAACTCAGTTTAATAATTCTCTCAATAATATATATAAAGTTCAGCTTTATTAAAATGACGTAAGTTTATTTCTAAAATAGTATAGTTTAGGGGGGTCCGGCGGGGGGTTGGAACCACACTAAGTGTCTGGCAACGAGCAGAGCAAGTTATAATACTGTTACGAGCAATATGTGAAAAAATGGAGCATCTTAAAATAACGAATTTGATATGAAATTGTATACACCGTTGTTACCCAATATACGGTTTCAATGAGTCTGGTAGGATAAGGAACCAAGAAAACTGTCTGGCAATTTAGGAAACTCAGTTTGAGAGAACTCTCAATAATATATATAAACTTCAGCTTTATTAAAATGACGTAAGTTTATTCATAAAGTAGTATAGTTTAGGGGGGTCCGGCGGAGTGTTGGTGTATTAAACAAAAGTACAATTAGCGCCATCTAGCGAAAAAACACAGAATTGTTCCCGACATTCCGCCCACCAAGAACTCTGTTCTTCATCTGTGGGCCGCCCACCATAGCAGAATTATTTATTGGAATTTTGGCAACGGAATAAGTTTTGAAATAGGGCGTTTTAGCGTTGAATTTTTACATTTGAGTGTCACAACTCTCACATGTCCATCTGGACCAGTGTGCTTGTGTAATATACGCCCCAGTAGCCACTTAGTTGGGGGCAAGTCATCCTTTATAATGACGACATCATCTATCTCCGGAATTTGGTTCGAATTTTGCCATTTATGACGTTGTTGCATGGTGTGTAAATATTCTCTGGACCATCTGCGCCAGAATTGTAACATTAATCTTTGTGTTAATCTCCATCTATTCAAAGGACTAATACATTTTTCATCCTCATCATTCTTCTCAGGTATGCTAATTAATGGTTCACCAACAAGAAAATGTCCAGGTGTAAGTGGTGCAAGATCATCAGGATAATCGTTGAGCAAACAAATAGGTCGCGAATTGAGACAAGCTTCGATTTGATGTAACAAGGTTGTCATTTCCTCGAAGGTCAGTTTTGAATCGCCGATTATTTTAATAATATTTGTCTTACGTATTTTAATTCCTGCTTCCCAAAGCCCACCGAAATTTGGTGCTCTCGGGGGTATAAAATGCCACGTAGTGCCATCATTACTGAGTAATTCGGCAACCTCTTGTAATACGCCAATCATGGCTTGGTTCAATATCTGTGTAAGTTCTCTTGCAGCTCCAACGAAATTCAAGCCATTGTCACTGTATAAATCGGAACAGTGACCTCGACGTGACACAAATCTTCTAAAGGCAGCGATAAAACCCTGTGAAGTAAGGTCACTTACAGCTTCAATGTGGACTGCTTTTGTTTTCATGCAAATAAAAAGACACAAATATCCCTTGTAAGCTTTTTGGCCTCTACCCTTGGATGCTCTCATTTGTATTGGTCCAGCAAAATCTACTCCGCTGGTCTTAAAGGCGCGTCCTGGTTGAACGCGAACGGCAGGTAGTTGACCCATCTTAGGTTGTATTGTCTTGCCTCTATATCTTAAACAAACTGTGCATTCTCGGTAACATTTTTTTACTAATTGTTTTAAACTAATAATCCAGTAGCGACTTCTCAAATAATTTATGGTAAGGGCAACACCACCATGTAATAATTTTAAGTGAGCATCTCGTATAATTAAAATTGTAAGGTGAGTATTATTGGGTATAATAATTGGATGTTTGTGTTGTTGTGATAACTGAGAAGCTTGTATTCTTCCACCTACTCGTAGAAGACCATCAGTATCAAGGTAAGGTGATAAGAAATAGAGTTTACTTCGTTTTTTGATTTTTCTATTTTGTTTTAAATCATTAATTTCTTCTAAAAATTCTTCTTGTTGTACCATTTTTATTAATGTATCTAAAGTTATTCTTAACTCTTCACTAGTTAAATAAGTGTTTAATTTCATTCTAATATCTTTTTTTGTTTTCAGGTGCAGTAAACGACGACAATAGCTGAGTACCCGAATCATTCTGGTAAGTGTTGAAAATCTGTTCCAGATCGGTTCATCTTTTTCACATATGAAAACCTTTGTATGTTGTTTTCTTTCTTCTAACTTTGTTTCAGGTATTGTTGTCATTGACTTCTGTGAAATTTCTTGGCTTAACCAAGTGGGACCCTTCCACCAGGTTTGTTTTTCTTTTAATTCAGATGGATTAACACCACGTGACGCGATATCAGCAGGGTTCTCCATAGAATTTACGTGACTCCAACAATTATTGTTTAATCTGGTTTGAATTTCTGTAACCCTATTACCTACAAATGTTTGCCACTTTGTTGGCTGAGATGCAATCCAAGCTAATACTACCATCGAGTCTGTATAAGCAAATATGTTACTACTGGATATTTTTAAAGTATTTGCGGCTTCTGCCAGTAGTTTTGAAAGTAGAACGGCTGCACACAACTCCAGACGAGCAATGGAAATCTGTTTTGTTTAAAACTAAAGTGGTGCCACTTTAGTTTTACTTTCTAGTATAGTTACAAAAATATTATCTCTGCTAACTACCCTTACATAGACCACAGCTGCATATGCAACTGTGGAAGCATCTGCAAATCCATGTAGTTCGACTCTTTCACTTTCTTGGTAAGTATGAATCCATCTTTCTATGTGTATCACTTCTAATTCTGGGAGTTGTTTTCTGAAACATAACCATTCTTCTTTCAGGTTTGTTGGTATATCTTCATCCCACCATATGTACAGAGCCATAATTTTTGAATTAATATCTTAACCTTTACTATAATTGGAGATAGCCACCCGAAGGGATCAAATAGGCGTGCCACCTCAGACAGAATGCTTCGTTTTGTTATTGTATCTGGTACATGAGGTAAGTTAATGTAAACTTTGAATTTGTCATCTAATCTGTCCCAAGAAAGTCCCAGTATTTTAATAATTTTATCAAATTTAATCTCCAATGGTTTTATATTTCTTTCTTTATTTTGTATGATTTTATCTAATAATTTGTCACAGTTACTGGACCACTTTTGTAATTCAAATCCAGCACATTTCAGCAACTCATCCAGTTGTCTATAAATTTCCATCGCTTGATGAATATCATTAGCTCCACTCATCAGGTCATCCATATAAAATGATTTTTTAACAATTTCAGCGGCTAAAGGAAATCGATGTCCTTCATCTTCTGCTATTTGTATGAGAGTACGGACTGCCAAAAATGGTGCTGCAGCTGTACCAAAGGTTACAGTAAGTAGTTTGTATGAGGCTATATCTTTATGAGGGCTTTCCCGCCACACTATTCTTTGATAATTTGTATGTTTGTCTGTCACCAGCACTTGACGGTACATCTTCACAATATCACTTATGAGTACTATTTTAAATGTTCTCCACTCCATTAATAGTGTTCGTAAGTCTCTTTGAATTACAGGACCAGTCATCATGGTATCATTAAGTGAGTATCCCTTGGATCCCTTAGCCGACGCATCGAAGACGACACGCAGTTTTATAGTATCTTTGTCTTCTCTAAGTACAGCGTGATGCGGTAGGTAAATTGCATCATCAATATCTTCGGAAGCTTCTATCATATGTCCTAGTTTGAGATACTCATTGATCACAGTACTATTCTTGTTTTAATTTATTGTTGTATTTGAATCGTCTTTCCAGTTGTAAAAATCTAGAAGTAGCTATTTCTTTAGTTTTACCACACTTTTCTGCTGGCTCTACATCTTCTCTAAAAGGTAAATGCACTTTATATCTACCAGATTCCGTTCTTATTGTAGTTTGTTTGTATAACTCCTCACATTTCTTTTCTTCTTGGGTATTTTTTCTTTCAGAGGTAAGTACTTCGTTTTCAATCTCCCAAAATTTTTCCAGTATATCATTATCACATATACATACATGTAAATTAGTTAATTGTTTTTGTGTTTCAGGTTGTGTGTTGCTAGTATCACCAGATAGAATCCAGCCCAGATGTGTAGATTGTGCTATAATGGACCCAGATGGACTCTTCAGCAATCCGACATCTATGATTTTGCTATAGACTTCAGCTCCTAGCAGTAGGTGTATTTTGTTCGGAATATTAAACCCTGGATCTGCTAGTGTTATGTTTTCAAGGGCAGGCCAACTAGACATCGTAACTTGCTGTGTAGGTAAGTAGTTTGTGATATTGCGTAATACATACGCTCTAATAAGGATAGTGAAGTTTGTTTTCTGTCTTGATCGAAGTTCAAGCTGTACTGTATATTTGGTTTGTAATTTTATTCCTCCACTCAATCCTGATACCACGCCGCTGGGTTTCTCTCTTTTCAAACCCAAGGTCTGAACAAGATCTTCTGACACAAACGTGGCTTGAGAGCCTTGATCAATGAGAGCACGGTAGGTGTGTATATTACTATGACATGAAGTCACATCCACCAGTGCAGTTGCTAATAAGATTTGACCAGGTTGTTTTACAAAATGTGACACTATGTTTGTCTGATCTTCATGACTTTCACCTCTTACAGGTTCCTTTCTTTCAGGGTGTAACAATGAATGATGTTTCTTCTGGCAAACACGACATGATGTTTTCCGTAAACATTTATTTACAGAATGATTTGGAATCAAACAATTGAAGCAAAGTTTGTTAGTTTGTACAAAGTCTGTTCTCTCTTTTTAAGATAATTTTGCAAACTGTTTACACATATATATGTAGTGATCACCTTTACAAAATGAACAAATTATTGTTTTGTTATCTATTGTTGAATAAAATGTCCTTGGTTTCAATATTTTATTTGATTGTTCTAACATTTCTAATGATCTGAATCTTGTTTCAAGAAATAATTGCAATTGGTTAAATGTTGTAAACTCTTGGTCTGGTGAAGTATGTTGCTTCCATAGCCGACGACTTTCAGGGTCTAATTTAGTGACTGTCATATAGACCATAATGCTATCCCATGACTCGGTAGGCAAACCGAGATGTTTCAATGAGTATAAACATTCAATGGTTGTATCACTCAGTTGTTTTATATTAAATGCAGATTCAAATGATATATTTTTTAAATTAAAGAGTTTCTTGAAAATACAATTTGATAAATACTTCTTGTTATTATATCTATTTTTCAATGTAGTCCAAGCTTGTTCATAGTTTTGACTTGTTATAGGTATACTTCTAAGTAACTGTTCGGCTTCACCCGTCACAGATGTTTTGAGATAATGAAGTTTTTGAACATTGTCTAGGTTCTTATTTGAATGGATTAATGTATTGAATAAATCATGGAAGGATTGCCAATCCGTGTATTTGCTTGAAAATATAGGAATTTTGATAGTCGGTAAGGTAATTTCGGTAGTTTTAAGTTGTTTTTCTGCTGGTTGTTTTTCATTCTTAGGTGACAATTTTTGTATTTCATTTCGTAAATCTCCCTTGTATTCGATATATATTTCTTCACATTGGTTGTAAATATCATTCTTAAAGTATTCAATTTCATTACGTTTTTCCCTTTTAATTTCTGCAATTAGTTGATCATGATCGGTTTTAAATGATTGCCATGTCTTGTCTAAACTTTCCAAACGCGTTTCTAAGTAGCTCAATGTAATTCTTTGTTTTGGACTTTTGTGATAATTTCGTTGTCCCTTAGAAATTTGTTCACATCTTTCTTCTTGTACGTTAAGTAATTGTGATATTTTCTCCATTGTTATCAAATAAATGAGACGCAAAAGATAAGTATCACTAAGTACACAAGTTAAAGTTTTAGATAAATTTACTAAGTTCGATATTAAGAACACAAATTGTTCACAAGTCCCAGTTACACTAAATTGTAATTTGTTTTTGTAGTAAACGGTTTTAAATGTTTTAATATGAATACACTATTAAATCACAGAACTGTTCAATGTCCAAATTGTTTATTTTTTGTAATCTTTTTTCACTATAGTTTTTTAGGTTAGGAAAAACGCATGTCAACTTAGTTCGATATTGTTTTTTCTCTTTGACACTAATTATGACTGACACTTGCTTGAATATAGGAGATTTTTTAATTAATCACACAAGAACATCCCTCTCGAAAGACCACTATGACCTTCTAATTACTGATTTTTCTTATTATAAAATGAAACACCGCTGAATCTAGGAAACTATTAAACAAAAGTACAATTAGCGCCATCTAGCGAAAAAACACAGAATTATTCCCGACAAATACTGTTACGAGCAATATGTGAAAAAATGGAGCATCTTAAAATAACGAATTTGATATGAAATTGTATACACCCTTGTTACCCAATATACGGTTTCAAAGGGTCTGGTAGGATAAGGAACCAAGAAAACTGTCTGGCAATTTAGGAAACTCAGTTTGAGAGAACTCTCAATAATATATATAAATTTCAGCTTTATTAAAATTACGTAAGTTTATTTATACAATAGTATAGTTTAGGGGGGTCCGGCGGGGGGTTGGAACCACACTAAGGGTCTGGCAACGAGCAGAGCAAGTTAAAATACTGTTCAGAGCAATATGTGAAAAAATTGAGCACCTTAAAATAACGAATTTGATATGAACCTGTATACACCGTTGTTACCCAATATACGGTTTCAATGGGTCTGGTAGGATAAGGAACCAAGAAAACTGTCTGGCAATTTAGGCAACTCAGATTAATAGTTCTCTCAATAATATATATAAAGTTCAGCTTTATTAAAATGACGTAAGTTTATTTCTAAAATAGTATAGTTTAGGGGGGTCCGGCGGGGGGTTGGAACCACACTAAGGGTCTGGCAACGAGCAGAGCAAGTTATAATACTGTTACGAGCAATATGTGAAAAAATGGAGAATCTTAAAATAACGAATTTGATATGAAATTGTATACACCGTTGTTACCCAATATACGGTTTCAATGAGTCTGGTAGGATAAGGAACCAAGAAAACTGTCTGACAATTTAGGAAACTCAGTTTGATAGAACTCTCAATAATATATATAAATTTCAGCTTTATTAAAATGACGTAAGTTTATTTCTAAAATAGTATAGTTTAGGGGGTCCGGCGGGGGGTTGGAACCACACTAAGGGTCTGGCAATGAGCAGAGCAAGTTATAATACTGTTACGAGCAATATGTGAAAAAATGGAGCATCTTGAAATAACGAATTTGATATGAAATTATATACACCGTTGTTACCCAATATACGGTTTCAATGATTCTGGTGGAATAAGGAACCAAGAAAACTGTCTGACAATTTAGGAAACTCAGTTTGATAGAACTCTCAATAATATATATAAATTTCA